ATGGGCCTAGGAACTTTCTTAAATTATGTACATGCATTTTTGAGGTCGGGGGTCAGGGTTTTGATTAAATATCTATGGTTGAGCTATTTTATTAATTAAATGTCTTTAATTGCCTAAATAGGTACTCGGGCTTCATTGAACCCACAGGAAGGACCCTCAAAGGGTCAGGCTAGCTTGGACGCTCAGTGAGTGGACATTTGTTTTCTAAATCGTTTTAAGAAATTCTTGAATGGTGATTATTAATTGTTTTGCTTATGTAATTGGTAATTTATGCATATTCGAATTTAGTTTGAGAACGATTCTGAAGGATTTTTCATGATTGGGTTAAGTTAAGGAATATGGCTTTTGCTTTCCAAGCAATTAGTTAAATTCAAATATTTCTTTTATCAAATTATGTTTATGTTTAATTATGAATGGCTTGGAAAGTAGAAAAGAATATAATAACATGATATAAGGATTTAATGAGAACTAGTATTTTAATTTTTAGGAAATGTTCTTTTTTTAAACCACCGTAGGTACCCAAAATGTTGCCTTCGGATAATTTGTGGCCTTTGGTTAAAATGATGTCCACAGACATCCTAATTGCCTTTGGTTGAGTCGGCGCGCGTTTGACATTTGCCCCACGAGTCTTAGGGATGATATAAGGATTTAATGAGAACTAGTATTTTAATTTTTAGGAAATGTTCTTTTTTTAAACCACCGTAGGTACCCAAAATGTTGCCTTCGGATAATTTGTTGCCTTCGGTTAAAATGATGTCCACAGACATCCTAATTGCCTTTGGTTGAGTCGGCGCACGTTTGACATTTGCCCCACGAGTCTTAGGGATATCCGGACCGTGAGTAGCGAGTATGCGGCTCAGGTTGACCAAGTGTCTCCTGAGTCTTGCGAGGAATGCGGCTCAGGTCGACTTTGTGTTACCGAGGCCTGCGAGGATGTGTCACACTATGTGACACAAGGAATTGATGGTATAATGTTTAACATTTAAATAAAGAATTTGGAGAGAAATTTGAGATGAGAGATGATAGTTGAGAGGAGAGGAGAGAAGAGAGAATATAAATATGAAAAAATCGCAGCTCCATAGATGCATTAAGGAAATAAATCTACCTTCAGAATGGCACAAAGAGGTGTTGAAGTCACATGGGAGAATGAAAAGAAGAAAAAGAGACGACGAGAAGAAGGAGGTGCTCTGCGTACGCAGCGAAAGCTGGAGGCAGAGGCTTCGAAATCCGTTGTTCTGCTTAGGCTTATAAAACCCTCATTCACTGGATTGGTATCCAATCAAAACATGAGGCCTAACTAGTCCAAGTGTGTATTTAGGCCCACCAAACAACACATAGGATTTTAGTCCATTTTAATTGGAGAAGTCTAGTCCAGCCCACTAAAAGCATTTATTGGGCAGCTAAGGCAGTTGGGCAGCAACTGAGAGAGGTGTGATTCACCAGCCAAAAGGGAGGATGAATTTGGCACTCTATAAATAGAGAGCTCCAGCACATTCATCAGATACACTCATTCATCCATTACTTATACACACATTCAGATTCCATCATTCACTACAAAGAGAGAAAAGAGCTAATTGCAGAGGAAGGAGAGCTTGGAGCAGTCCTGGGAACTACCTTACTACCACCAACTAGTTTTTCTCTTCTCTTTATTCTCTCTATGTATGTCTTATTTTATGTATTCATAGTTATGTCTAACTAATTCATTTAGTTAGGACTTAATATTTGAAACCCTCAGCCAGGCCCGACTGAGCCCATTTAGGCCCTACTTGAAAAAGGCCAATTAGGCTGGGCATTGGCCTGACAATAAATAATAATAGTATAGATATATGAATATTCATATATGTCCACAGCCCACCAAAGAGAAGAAAAAAAAAAAAAAAAAAAAGCCCAATACACTAAAGGGACTATTCACAAGTGGATGCAATATGCAAAACCTGGTAAACAAAAAAATAAAAATAAAAGAAGGAAAAAACAATAGCTATTTTTCATTTCCATGCATGTTTCCAAATTCCAACGGTTACATCGGATTTTATAATCACCTCCAAGTCCAACAGTTACTTTTTTTAATTTGAGTCCAAATACCCTTTTCCTTGTTGTTTAAAAATGTGTAAAAAAAAAAGATATAGAAAAACTTTGGAAAAATTTAAAAAGGCCCGGCCCGACCCAATGACGAACCCTACCATGAACAAGAGTTACTCCTCTCTCCACCATGTTGAGTCCAAAATGCAACCTTGGGATAAGATAAGGGTACCCTAGAAGCAGACTCGTCAATTATAAAGCTTTGTTTCAACTACAACAAGGCAGAGCACTCATCAACGTGGTCAACTGTCCTCACAAATTAAAAACAGTGAATAGCAGCAATGAGTAATGGCAAAATAAGATAGCTTAAAGAAATAAACTTTGGCCATCGCGATTCCTTTCCCATAGAAATTATCATTTCTGATGTATGGCTAAGTGGGGAGAAGTTAATTAAACTTCTTTTGTAGGCACTCAACTCATGCAAAGGTTGTTTCACTCCATACTCCATAGGCTACAAAATAATCCAAAACATGTGGATAAATAATCAAAGAAATGCAAAACATAAAAAATAATGTGTTTTTTTGTTGGTACTGGGATCTAATTAGAAAGTAGGGCGTTGAGGACTTGTTTTGTGCAGGGATATGCGGTGGCAATGGCATTTACAATTGATGTTGTTCTGCCAGTAAGTCTTCTTTTTTATGCATTATGGGAGCTTGGGAAAGGAGCTACATAAAACTGTGAAACCTCAAAAAAAAATTAATATTTGTTATGAAATTCTTGATTAATTCATATGTATCCAAAAATATTTAAACAACAAACAGCACTTGTGTTTGGAATTCTTGAAATTCTTGCAATAACATTTGCCATACTGTGCTTTGTTACATACATTTCATCAGAAAATGACCAGCCCTGCACAATATCACAAACATACCCATACATCAGCAATAATACAAATCCTCATTGAAGATGGTTACAGGGCCAGATAAAGTTAACTCCCTGATTTCTTGAGCCAATTGCTGAATATGAAGGTAAAGACACATATAAGTATACAACTCGGCAAAGAACAGTTTTAAATAAAAAAGAGACATGAGAAATTATTTTCCATCAAATCTATTCCGCAAACCAAACGAAGCCTACTAGATAGAGAGCAGCCAAAAGTATCATTGTAATGAGCCTCTCTTATCAGTCAATCAAAGAATATTCAGCAATCTAAGTTCCTACTTCCGCTGCTCTCTAACCCAACAAAAGGATTGAAATGACAAATAAACTTCCAATCAATTTCATATTCGATACCAAGCATACGCCCAACAGTTAATATATGACTAAAAGCTCATGCAAAAAGTAAAAACAAAGGAAATGCGAAAGACAAAATGAGTTGATGATGTAAGTGCCATTGTAGTAATCTCATAATCTTTTGCAAACTGTGGTAGTATACAGCAAGGCCCAGATAAACTCTCAGCCCAGCCTTCAACAATGACTCCTGTGTGATACAATTTATGGAAAGACAGAAATAGCATGGTCCAAATTATTAGCCTGATAAACTTTCTGCTAAAAATACAAGGATATAAGGAAAAATTAGGGCTCGTTTGGTGGTGTTTTCGAAAGCCGTTTTCAGTTTTCATTCTCTGAATATGCTTGTAATTTGCGTTCGATGTTGAAGTTAAGAAAAAGCAGAAAATGTATTCTGAAAACAGATTCAAAGTTTTAGTTATAATTGGCATTTTGACATTGTAGTTGGTGGGGCAATATCCTTCCAAATAATTGGCGCAACATCAACTTCAAAAAAGTACACCAACTTATCACTAATATAAAACAACGAGGCATTTTCCAAGTAAGATGAACTGATAAACGTTTTAGTTGACTTTTCTCCTCCATCCTTTTATTTGAATTTTTATATACAGTAAGTCTGATTACATCATTTCGTATTGCTAACGTCCTTGAAACATATATATATTTTTTTTTTTCAAAGAAAAGCTTTGAGTAGAAAAGGAAACAATCAATGGTTGGTGATGAAAAAGGCTCTTTGTTATAGATTACCAACCAAGGAAAGGAAAAGGATTTATCCTCTTTTAAGTGGGTTGGTGGAGTTTAGGTATTGTATCATTGTAATTTGGATGTACAACAAATATCTTTCTGGTCTATACTTACCTACTACTGACTGGTTTTGGCTGACCTCAGCTTTCTAGAGAAACGTACAAATGTTTAATAGTCTTTGGTCAATTGGGTTATCAGCACAGCACAAACATGGTACAAATTATCAACAAGGAAATTCAAGTTTCCCACTTTCCTTTTGAGAAGCAAACATGGTATGGTAGCACTTTAGCAAGTCTTGGACATAAATCTTAAAATCCAGGTTCAGAAATTTTCATCATATGGTGTTGTTTATATGGTAAATGAACCCGAAAAGAAAAATATCAGCACAATCGTAAAAAAAAAAATTAGAAAAAGAAAATTGTTTTGAGAAGATTATGAATATGTAGAAAATTGTAGTGATACATATTTTTAGATACCCAATCCTATAAATAAATAAAAAACAAAAATAGGAAGATCTGGATCCAAATAACATTCCCTATTCTGGCCATAAACAAAAGAAACACATTATATAAACATGACGAAGTCATACAAACAAAAATAGGAATAATGTTGGTTTCTTCGTTTATAGTAACAATAGAAGTACCCAATCCTATAAAATAAATAAATTTTTTTTAAAAAAACAATACAAATAACCAAATCTTTTTTTTTAATTCATAATTCGACACAAAAGACCAAAACACAAATTCACCAGGGCGTAATCCACAAAGGGCCCAAATCTTTCATTGATTAAATTTTGAAAAGCTATCACACAATCCGGAATGATTTCTTTTATCAATAGAGAAATGGGTGGTTCGAACTTAAGACATCTATTAATATACACTACTAGATTAATAATTACTTGATATAATCCAAATATTGAAGAAGTGAAGAACTTAGACCAAAACAAAAGAAGGAAACACATGAAATAAATATAAAAACAAACCATGAACTTGAAACTTTGAAGGTGGCTTACCATAAGGACTCGTCGCTTTGGGTGGTCGAGCAACTGTATGATTTTCTTGAAATTTTTCTTTTGGAATCGCTGGGAAGTGAATCGAGGAATAAAAATGCGGAGAGGTTTGAGAAACTGAGCTCGATCATGATTCATGAAAAAAAGAAAGCTTTTTTGCTTGGACTGATATCATAAAAAGAGTTGATGATGTAACTGCCAAAAGCCTCGCAGAATTGCATTGCTAATTCCGATAATAAAATGCAGGTGGGAATCCGAATGCAGAAGTCGATAAAATAGGAAACGACGACGAGGACAAAAATGGCAACAGATGAAAAGTACGGCAGTCAGTGCACTTCACTAATTTATTATCACCTACACCTACCATGGACAAGGCGTGTATTTCACACGCCCTGACATCACAAAAGGGGCGTGGGCATTTATTTTAGCTCACTCAAAACTCGTCACAAAGCATTGAATTCTTTTCGTTTAATTCTAAAAATTATTTTCTTTTTTTTATACAAAAGCGATAGTGTTTTATTAATGATGAAGGATGAAACAAGTACAAAAAATCGGGCTATGACTTGAGCCATGAGGTTCAAGCCTCAAACTATTGGTTTGTAAATTAAAGCCATTTTTCATTGGGCTAGACCCCGTTATGACAAAAGCAATATTCTAAATTACTCTAATGTACAGGAAGGAGATTCGAACTTAGGTGTGATGAGGCAGGCACATTTCTTAAATTAACTGGCCTAACCCACATTTGCAACAATAAAAAAACTTAGGGTATGTTCGATATTCTATTTGAATCTAAATTTTTAAACTTAAAAACATAATTTGAGTCCAAAGCCTAAAAATCTATTTGGGATGCCCAATTTTGAAAATCCAAACCCAATTTATGGCATTATGCCTTTTTTTGAGTTCTCTACTTGAATAGGAAACCAAATGCCTTTTTTATTTTTTTGGACCTTTTTATTGAAAGGAGCGATAGTATATTAAATCACAATACACTATACGGATACTAAGACTCGAATTCATAACATTTTCTA